AGAATAAATACCAATTATTTTCTTTCATATAACAAACTTATATAAAGTGAATATTGTTTTCTTTCCATTGATAGATGGCCTTGTACTTGAAATCAGGTTCAATATACGATTTTGGCAATTTTATTGCAACTTTTACGTTGATCACATCGAAAACAGCATTAGGAGCTGCTCACTTAATAACTTAGTATGCATTCTATGTAATTTCTTACGATACAAAATTTTCTTGTATATATTCTTGTTTATTTGTGTTATATATCTATTATAGTAACGAACCAGACGATTTGTTTGGTACAGTTGGGCATAAAGATAGATTTCTTGGACAGAAAGTGTTTTTTACGAACAAAATTCAACACCCAAACTTTACTGAAGGGTCATTTGTTAATGATATTGCACTGTTAATAATAAACACCACTCTTTTTGAAGTGGACAATTCTATTCTTCTCTCACAGGTCACTATGCCACATGTAAAATTTCCAGATGATAGATACATTTTCGGATTCGCATTTGCGGTTGGATGGGGAAACACTGGAAAAAGTAAGTGCATATTGACTTTAACAAAATATTAAAAATTATTATATCTACTTGATTTTCTAAAGTAACAAAATATGTAGGGATTCTCAAAAAGTGCGCCCTCAAGAGATGACTGTATGAGTTATGAATATTAAGAAAGTATATTTAAAAACGGAGAAGAAGTTTGAAACCATATGTATAAAGATTTTTCACATCCATCATCAATCAATTCCGTAACTTAACAAGGCCAGAGGGATAACACATCGAATATTGTTTTTTATATTGTTAGTAATTGAATTCCTTTTGCCCGGTGACCATAGCAAAGATTATCCTTCCATAGTTCTTGATTAGTTTTCTCTTAAAGTAGGCGAATTCGCAGGACTAGGTGACTAACCTTGAGATTAAGGCAACCTAACTACTGAAGAAAGATTGGGTAGTTAGGTTGCCTTATTCTCTTACAAGTAAACCATTCACAAACAATGCTATTTTTTTACTAGTTTTGAGCTCACTATCTTTCCCTTTCATGTAATTTTTCCTCCACTCTAAAACCGGGTTCAGTGTCCAATCAGATTTTCGGAGGAGCTTTTATCTGCACGGCCTCCACTGTTGGATTCCGTACCGTCATCAAATGGTACATAAATTATGAGATATTTTTCCAAGGAAACGTTCAGCCAACTAGAAGGTAAAATTGCTCTGCATCAGGATCCAAGTAGGCTTAAACTCTACTCGTGACTACTTCAACTTTTGTTCGAATTCTTATAAAAATTAAATTTTCTTCGTTTTCATACAATCTTCTTTATATGTTCGCTCAGCGCGACATTGGGAACGAGTTTACAGTGACGGATGGATCCTATCATAATAGAGTATATCCACTCTGAATTTCTTTTACAGTCGACCCCCCTATAACACGGTAGATACGTTCCGTTCTTTATGAATCGATTTCTTACGAGTCCTTGCCAATTACAGCCCGACACGTGTGAAGTTTACGGGCTACAGCTGTTTGAAAGGTTTCCTTCCATAAAATTAATCGATTCTAGACTAATCCGACTCAACATTTCCAAAATACGTATATATTTTTGGGGTATAATCCGTATAAACTACGCAGTAAACAAAAGATTGTAGGATTACTTACCGAGTGTGCACCGTTTGACGTCGCCATTGCTCAAGCTTGTTTTCGTCGCGGAGCAACGCACCAAACCGCGGCCGCGATTTTTGATAAGTTATTTTTCTGCGAAAACTTCGTTGAACTTTGTAGATATCATTAATATAAATAATTTTTATGGCCGTTGAATAAGAAATGTTTTTTCCACAAGAAATGTATAAAAGTACAGTACTGTATTAGACTTACGCTACCTAATTTACATACTGTACAGACGATAGTAAACAACTTACTCTCCTTAACTCTCCGTAGCGTAGCGCTGGACGGCAGAAAGTATATATATAATTATAATAAAGTTACAATAAATTAAGTTAATATATAATTATATATACAGTACCTAATTTATATATAACTAGCAGACCCCGCCACGCCTTGTTGTGGCTCAAAATGTATCTATTATAAATGTATAACATTTCCCCCTGGGAGAAAATTTTTCGAAAAATTCCTTCTTAGTGTACATTCTGTTGACGTACCCTATTAAAACGCAATCAAAAACGCAAAAACCCGCATCTAAAATTTTATAATAGAAGCCAAGCTTTTCAAGGTAATCCTTAATCCTGTTTCTCTCCCCCGCGGGGGAATATCGAAAAATCCCTTTTTAGTGTACATTCTGTTGACATACCCTATTAAAACGCAATAAAAAACGCAAAAACCCGCTCTAAAATAGTATAATAGAAGCCAAGTTTTTCACAGTAAGCCTTAATCTTGTCCCTCTCCCCCCAATGGAGTAATTTCGACATGTATTCGACAGCCTATGTCCACCCTGANCTTTACTTTTTTAAAGAATTGTTATAGTTATTAAGTCTTAAACAAAAGTAAATAAAAATATTTTCTTTAAAGTCTCACCTTGGTATACCTTTAAGAACGTTTTTCTCATTATATAACTGAGACCGTACAGAAGTTATTATAGGATTGTCAACATATTGAAATTGTTGTTCAGAAATTCTGAAATCATTATCAAACTTTATTCTAACATTATCTTTTGTAATGCTTTGGGAAGGTGAAGTAATGCATTCAATAACTTTTGTTTTTCTTCTAGAAAAAAAAAAGAAATAGTTAATAACATCTAATTAGATAATATTTACCTATATTGTAATAATAAAGATTAGAGTAAGCAGGTGTGAAATAAATCATATAAGGCTTTCAGCATCATATTTTTAAGTGTGTTTTATTCCTACATCAGTGGCGTGCTATCCTTTTTATGAAAATATCGGGCAATATGTATTTTAGAAATATGTATTTTCTAAAATATAAATACATATTGCGCGATTATTTTCATATTTTGAATTAATTAAAGTTAATATTTTATTATAACCGCATTATTTATCTTATTACAAATTTCTAAACTACATGTGAAAAAAACGACAAGATTGTTATTCTATATTCCAATATCGCTGTATTGTCGAAACCGGGTCAGCTTCCAAGTGACCAAATTATAGGCATTCGCGCATACGCTTTACAGAGTACCAACCTCACGGTGGAAGCTACACACACAACGCTTCCAATAATTCTATCCAGGACCGATTCTGGACTGTTAGTCGCCTGCCAGCTAGATATTTGGCCGCCCTTGCCCGATTATGTGAATTACGAGTAGATTTATAACTTAACCCAACCGATAAGAATTTACTGGCATGTTTTTATGATAGTTCTGAATAGTTGACAGTTTAAAAAAATCCATTAAAATATTTGATATGTTTATTCTGCTTTTATTCCGCTATCCCATTTTATATTACTTACGGATTTCAATGTTAAACCAGTGATATTACGATTTTGTATGTCCCATCTATAAGGGGATGTAGGAAAAAACGTGTACAATTCTTGTACAATGTTAAAAAATCAACTGTTACTTTGATACGATTAAATTTAATGAATGAGATGCACAAGGTAATTTATTTAGAGAATTTATTTTCCTTAAATTTACGATTTATATATCCGTTGTCATAAAAATTTGTCTTTCCACTTTTTTCCCGAGACTACAAATATTCGAGTACAAAGTAACCGGTTTCGACTTATTTCCAATTAAGAAGTTGTTAAATAATCAAGAGATTAGAGAATTAGGGACATAAATAAAACCCTGATGAAAGAGCCGAAATTTTATTTAAATAAAAACTTAACCGAACCAATCTCTAGCCGAGTACAGTGGGGACTGATTTCTTCGAAATACTGTATTAGATGTAATAAAGACAGAAATTTTTCTAGTTCAAAGAGAGTGACCGAAAAGTTGTAAATTTCGGAAATTTCCTTGGACGCTGTGACCTGTAAAAATTTCCTGCAAGAAAGAAAAGACAACAATTTAATGAGCCTCATTACCTTCATTTGTGAATGCAGGGCTGCAACTTTTAATCATGTTTTTAATTTATTTAATTTAAAATATATGCTCTTCATTTCAGATTAGTAGTGACGCTCCTATATATCATACTTTTCCCGGTAGCAATAGAATCGTGGCAGTTATCTAACTCTTTTTATGGGAAAATTTTGAAATAACGTGACTTTCGATTTTGCATAAGAAGTTCCCATATCGAGGCATTCAGACCCTAATCTTTCCAAACCTTGTCATGACTTCATGTTTCTTACTCCGTTATCGAGATTAAGGAAGGACAGACAAACGGACGGACGACAGAGGAGAGATTTATAGGTATACAATTTTTTCAAATTGCAGTCTAATAATGTATTTGATTTCAGTAAAATTAAATTTTAAATTATATTTTCAGTATAAATTCTATATTTGTGTTGAATTGAGAAAAATAACGAATTCATTAATAAAACTTTTTAAAATTAAATGATAAAATATAAAATTATATTAAAGTAATTTTTTAAATAAGTTTATAAATAAGATTTCTGTTATGATTTCTATGAGACTTCATAATGTTTTAACACACATTACAGAGTTTTATATTTTTCGAAGTATATAAAGAACAATGTAATTATAGGGGAAGGTGGGGTAGTACTGTACCAAACACCCAAGCTTCTCCTATTATAAAAAAATTTTACAGCTCAATTGGTCCAGATTACATTTTATACAAAACTTCATTGTCTTATAAAAGTACCTGTTAAAACTCATTTTTCTAAGATAAAAATATTGATTATTTTTTTACACTTTTTACAGTCATTGCATTTTTGCCAAGTTTTAGAGGATTGTATCGGACATGAGAAAAATCTACAAGAAGAGAATTACTTTTGGTTTTACAAACAGCTTTTTATTATTAGGCAAAGTTATTATTGAGAAATTTATAAAAGTACAAGTTACAGATCGTAAAACTAAGTTAATACATGATAAGAAAGTGATATAAATGAGAAAAATTAAAAAAATTATCAGTCTGAAAATTCAACAATTCGTTTTAATGACAAATGCATTTTGTGTTTATTTTTTTGGTAATGCAAACATCACATTGATAAAAATATTTGTTTCCTTTAAGATCGGCGCAATTTTCATGAGCCCAACCTTCAGAAATCCTACACATAAATCCAGTTTTTTTCAAAGGTTTCATTACAGATGATGCAGTGAGTTTCTCTCTTTTCTTGAAGTGATTTAGGCCTATTTACTGTTTTCTTTCTTTGTTTCTCTTTATGTAGACGATTTTCCCTCAGCAGTTTTCTTTTAACTGCATAAATTATTTCTTTTTCTTTTTTCTTTCCTTTATTCTGCAGTAGTTTACTCATATTGTCTCTTAAAACAAAAATATTCTGCGAGAATATAATTCTTATCAATTTTAAACTGTTTCCGATACAACCGTAACACCTCTGTTTCATACAAACCTCAGCGTTGTTGTCCTATACAACCCGAAACATCATAGAACAAAACATAGGTTTAACATACGTACTAGTAAGCTTAAGGAGAATTCCGGCCTGCAAGTTAAAGAACAATAAATGTTATTTTCAACAATAAACAAAAAAAAACAACTTATTCTTATTTTCAGGCAAGCTATGACAAGCAGAAGTCATCTTCGTTCACTCAAAACACTATTAAAACTATCAAATTTCTGCCACGTGTCAACAACACTACTGATTGACTATATATGGCGGGAATCTAAACTTTCTTTATTTACTTAACATTCTAGTGTCTTCACAGGTTCTGCCACTTGCAGCAAATGTTAGAAACAACGCTTGTCCGATACTAGCTGCTGTCCGATACTACTAGCAGACCCCGCCACGCCTTGTTGTGGCTCAAAATGTATCTATTATAAATGTATAACACTTCCCCAGTTGGGGAAAATTTTTTAAAAAATTTTTTCTTAGTGTACATTCTGTTGACGTACCCTATTAAAACACAATCAAAAACGAAAAAACCCGCATCTAAAATAGTATAATAGAAGCAGAGTTCTTTACGGTAACCTTTTCCGTAAGGCTTACCGTAAAGAACTGTCCATCCCCCATGTTTAACGGAATAATATATAGCCTATGTCCACCCTGAAGTTCCATTCTAAACATTGGTGAAAGAATTTTTGAAATCGGATGAGTAGTTTCGGAGATTACCTGCTGCATACAAACTAACATAGATACAAACATTACCTCTTTATAATATTAGTATAGATTTACGTCAAAGAGATACAAATAAATGGAATTATATTTCTATTTATCAGTGACAGCAATCTAATTATCAAGTGCGTTTTTCTTACGTACTGTTGAAATCGTTTTTATCTTTCTTACAAGTATTTCTGCCACGATACAAACAATAGACAATACGAAACCTGTAATGAGAATAATGAAGTTTCCTAAAAGTTGGTTCAAGTTTAGTGGTTCGACATCATCGTCTTCGCTTTCGTATATGGGAATTACTTCCTCTTTGCTTCTGAGGAATTCCGTTATTCCACTTTCAAACAAACGACGTAAGCTATAAATAAGCAAATGAAATTTAAGAATAAAAATTAGAATGTTCATTAATAAAATAATAGTAATTAAGTGTACATTTTATTAACGTGTTTCTTATACGGGAAATCTTTTCTTAGGAGATATGCTACGGGATACGATATAAGTTGATCTTCACTCGTTATTATTTTGCCAGTCAGTTCCATCCTGACGACTCTGTTTACGTATTCAATATTTTCTATATATGCAAACCGACCGTTATTTATTTTTTCGACAGTATCCTCTACATTCAGATAATTGCGTTTTTGATTGATGTGATCGCCCAATGTTTTCGCCATTTCAGACTGATTTCCCTACAAAAATTAACAAATTCAATTAAAACTTACTGGTTGAAACCATATCATTACTAATTTTGTGATATTTATGCAATATACAAGGAAATTTATTTATACATATTTATTATATATTGAAGATTACAATAGATTCGTCAATTTATATAGAAGAGAAATGAACACTGAAATATTAAATCACAATAATCTTAGATTGCCACGATGAAAACTTACTCTTGACAATTGCAATCAAAACTGTAATATATGAAAAATAGTAAGTATACCATGAAGTGAATATTGAGATAATTCTGGACAATACCTTACGGGTTGTCCAGAATTTATCTATTTACCTTAATTACATTTTGATATATGGTTAATGAATAGCATGACAGTTATTATTCACATTAGAAAAATCTCTGAAAACGTAACGTGATACTTGCGATAAACACGTAAGTGAAAAGAAAAATTTTTTCACTTAAATGATGCATGAAATTCAGAGGAAAACGCGAGAACTGCATACATTATTACTACGTGCTGGTAAAAATCCTGACAAAACGTGACAGTGCTGCCAATTTTTTAATTTTTTACAATATTTCGTGTGGACCTATTCCCATGTTTACTATTCTTCCAGTCTCTCATTTATATTTTAAAAAACAATACGTAAATTTTAACGAAGAAGAGGCAAATAATTTAACAAAACTTCATAAAAATTTAAAGCAATTTATGCATTGCAGAATTTTAAAATCATATTATGTATAAATGTAGATTGCAATTTATATAACACAAAATTGATAATATGATAACTTCTTGATAAGAAAAATATAAAGCATTAAGATAATACAGTGACAATTTCAGAAGTAAAACTGAAAGCCACGAAGACCCTTCTCAATATATTGTGTAGGGCCATCATGGCCGTTACAAAATATTTTGAGGAATCTTCATAGATTTTCTCTCCATATTTTAAATCATGGTTCTCAAAATATTTCTTGTTTCATATCGAAATGGAAAAAATGGTCCTCGTTGGACTAGTTTATTCGATTTCAAGACTTAAAAGAAACGAATTGTAAAAAGTTTTGGCCGTATTTGGGTGGTTTTTTTTTTAATTTTTGAAATTTTTACCATGATTGGGTGTAAAAATAAAAATGGAAAGTAATTACGAGAGTAAGCTAAACTTGTTGGTGCACGCACACCATTTCTACTGCCGACAGGAAAATATTTAAATGGTAATGATGTTATTTTCTAATCTATGAACACTTCTTATTTAATCTTTGACTTAGAAATCGTGAGAGAGAGAAATTCTATAATTTATTTTAGATAATTTTTATACCTTTTATGTCGACCGTAAAATTAATGACGTATTTAAAATTGCAATTTTTCAGCTGACATAATTTTATAAAAATTACCCCGCGAGAAAGTTAAATGTGTTATTTATACTTTGATCTAAATTCACTATTGTATGCACAAAGTGAACTTAAAAACTACAACACACTTAGTACATACAAATGTAAATTTAGATATAATAAATCTTTAAAAATGTTAATTTCGTCAACCATTACGTATTACTATGATATTATCTGATTACCTTAAAATGTGTGTTTTGAGAAAAAACAGATATCCCGCACGAGAAGTCACCCTTTTCTACTGCAGATGCTAATTCATAATAATTTCTCGGTATCCATTCGTAATTTGTAGCTGTAAGGAAAGATATCAAGACCCCACTGTAGCCGTATCCCAGGACCACTGCTATAATTAGCCAAACTCCGATTATAATCCTTGATGAATCTCGAAAAACGTGATCTAAATTGATTCCTGAAAAATTTTGATTGTAAATGAATGTTCAAAAATTCTTTTTATAGGTTAAACAAAACTGGAAAGAAGTAAAATTTACCTTGTTGTATAATATTTGAAAACAAAAGCCAAACGCTTGTTTTCACTGACCAAAATTTTTTTGAGCCATGCAAACTATTAGCCTTCTTCATAATTTGAGACAATATACTCCCAGTGAACACAATGGACATTAAGAGTGTTAACCACACCTGAAACACAGTCTTAAAGTATATAAAACAATCCAGAAACGACTTTCATTACTTTACATAAGCATTTCACAATATGGCCATTGATCAGAATTGATACCAGTTATTAGGCTGTAATTTGAAAAAAGTTGTAGCCTTACAAATTAATACTGTATATTTGTCTGCCTGTCTTTCCTGAATCTTGAGAATGGAGTAAGAAAGATGAAAGATGGCACCAGATATGGAAACAACAGAGATAGAAGGCGCCGATTACCTATATATGCACTTTGTATGCAAAGGTATTAGATCAGTGTTTTTCAACCTTTTTGAATACGCGACCCCTTTACAAGTTAAAAAATTCTGGCGACCCCCCAGGGCCATATTAAAACTATATCAGTGATTTTAAAAACTATGTATTTAATTTTCTTTCTGTTGAAACAAATCATTGTTGATAAAATTGAAAGTTTCATAAGAATCGACAATAACTTAACACAGATAAAGTATGAAACTTTCTGTAATTATAACATTGAGCGCAGGGAGCCATTGACCTTTCTTTTTTTTTGTATCAGGACTTTCAACTTCTACTTTTTATTTCTTTTTGCAAATCAGCTCAACATTTTTTCGGCTATGATTTTCTGGGATGGGCCGTGCCCACCAACGCCTCTCCCTGGCCACACCCATGGTTGACAGCTAAACATCGATCTAAAAACCAATTGTACTGTAAAATAAACAATTTTTCGCTGAAATTGTATTTTTTAATGTAGTGCAGGACCTACAAACATTTGTCTTTTTCTTTTACCCGCGACCCCCGTGTAAGGCTTCGCCACCCCCTGGGTGTCGCGACCCACAGGTTGAAAAACACTGTATTAGATAGTTGACCAGCAAAAATTTAATGTTAAAGGAAAAGTATAATGTACAGGGTCAAGCCACTACTAATCTGAGGTGGACAGCATATATTTTAAATTATGTTAATTAAAAACATGGTTAAAAATCGCAGCCTGGCATTGTGATGATGCCGGGCTGCAATAAATAATTACAGTGGTGCTTCGTATAACGTACTTAATCCGTTCCAGGTGCACGTCCGTTAAGTGAATAGTCCGTTATACGAAACGCATTTTCCTATAGAAATACATGTTAAAACATATAATTCGTTCCGCAGCATAAAATAACCGTACTGTACCATAAAAAAATGAAAATGAAGCAGTCACCAATTATGCCGGGTAGTCAGATGTTGTGAGGAGGAGGTGGAGGAACACTTTCTTCACACATTCATACAGATACAGACTTTTTACATATTGCAGCGGGTCTTTTTTTTTATTGTTTTTTAATTGGATTCAGATTCAGGACAGGCTACCGGAACTTGCAGGGTCAACTCCTCTTGTTCCATCCTTTGTTTTTTCCCCGCTGGCTTCTTGTAAAACATGTCCAAGGTGGTCTGTTTCTCTCTCTTCTTCAACACCTGTCGGAAATGACGGGCAAGAGTGTCATTGTAGAGATCATTGATACTGTTGCCTCAGCTCTGTTTGGATAATGAGTGTTGGTAAACTCCTGAACCTCTCCCCATTCGACAAAGAAGTTTTTGTCAACTTTCACTCCTTCTGATGATTTCTTGCATTGTTTCAATTGAAATCACCTTTCTGTTTTTTTAGAAGCCATGATTTGCACAACACTTGAATAAATGTAAATGCCCTGCACTGTGTTGATGTACAGTACCTAATAAACAAAGCAGCAAGCCTAATCCCAACGCGCTGTACTTCAGATATACTGATAATATATTCTAATAATACTAATATATAAGTGTTTGTCAACCTGTGAGTCGCGACTCCAGGTGGGTCGAAAAGCCATACACGGGGGGTCGCGGGTAAAAGAAAAAGACAAGTGTTTGTAGAAACACTTGTCTTTTTCTTTTACCCGCGACCCGTTCTTTTAGTCCTACGCTACAATAAAAAAACTACACTTTCAGTGAGAAGGCTGTGCCTGTTTATTTTACAGTACAATTAGTTTTTTGATCGATATTTAAATCTCAACAGAACGAAAATTAAATACAGTCGACCCTCCTTAACACGGGTTCCTATAATTCGGATTCCTATATCACTGCGAAAAATTGCGACAGTATTCGTACAAACATGCTAAAAAAACGCCTATAATTTGGTAAAACGTCATCGCCGACTCGTGTCCCGACAGGATTGCACAAACCGTTGAGTTTAAACGAGCAGCGAATCTACCAAAAACCATTTATATTAATGATCTCTCTAAAGTTCAGCGAATTTTTCGCGAAAAAAATAATTTATCAGGAAGCACGCGAGCGCCATTCGATGACAATCTCCACGACGAAAACAAGCTTAAGCAACGGCGTAGTCGAACGGTGCACCCTCGGTAAGTAATCCTACAATTTTTTGTTCATAGCATATTTTAGATGGATTATTCCCAAAAAATTATACGTATTTTGGAAATGTTGAGTCGACTTAGTCTAGAATCGATTAATTTTATGGGAGAAACCTTTGAAAAAGCAGTAGTCCGTAAACTGCATACGTGCCGGGCTGTGATTGGTTGGACTCCTAGAAGCTGGATTCATAAAAACAGGAACGTATCTACCGTGTTATATGAAGGGTCGACTGCATGTACCGGTAGTTTTTAAAATCACTAACATACTTTTAATATGGCCGTGGGGGGTCGCCAGAATTTTTTTACTTGTAAAGGGGTCGCGTATTCAAGAAGGTTGAAAAACACTGCTAATATATTATAAAAATAGTAGATTGTCATTGGCAACGGCAAAAGAGTGGAAACATTATTCGCACTTGTTCGTAGAAAGTCCATTGGTCGCCTCACGTAACTACCGAACGGAAAGTCCGTTGTCCGCAGCCAGTCCGTTGCTCGAGTCACGTAACGGTCAAACAGAAAGTCCGTTATTTGAGGCGTACGTTATACGAGGCACCACTGTACTTGTATAAGTTTAAATATTTGCAACTTTAAAAAATAGCCTCAAATAAGGCTTATAAAGAAAATATTAAAGCACTTGGGTATAAAATTAAAAAATTGTTTACCTCGAAGGCAAATGGTTTAAAAATAGTTTCCCAATTTAGCTTTAATTTGCGTTGTTTAATTATGTAATTTATCGGTAGTACACGAATAATCGAGGTATAATCGACCAAGTGAAAGACATCGCTACTCATATATTGAGGAAAAGCCGACATGTCTGCTTCCTGTCATTTAAAAAATACATTACAATTTGAATATCAGTGGAAAACAAACGTTTATAAATAAAAATATACAGTAAATACCTTATTAATTATCTGTCCTATCATTCCAGAATAACTTCCATTTGAATACTCTTGTAGAATTATTTTTGGCATGGGTTGAAGGACTTCGTATCTACAATAATCAAATTTTTGAATACTTTTATTAAATCGATAATTCGTACTACAGTTTCATTTTTACAAAGAATACGAAAATTGTTTAACTTTACCTAAATTTTAATTTTTCTTGAAGCAATTTAAATACATAAAAACAATATGAACTAATTAGTTGTTTGTCGTACTCAGTCACATTTATCCATGCTGGGTCCTAAAAATTCAAATTAGTATTGACCTAAATTAGATATCATAATAGAGAATATTAAAATAATAAGTATAAATTTACATCAATTCCAGCAATTTTCCATACGTAGTTCGATTCCATTCTTTTTCTGAAATTAAAAAATGGGCTGTGTTAAGTGATTATGTTGCAATTTACACGGAAAAAATACTTCATATGATATTAATAATGCTTTTCAATGATTTTGTGTTAGAAAAAATAAAAATGATAGGTTTTTACTAAGTCGGAATATTATGACGTAAATAAATACTATTATTTGCAGAGTTTTAGTTTGAAGCGTAACAACTCCAATTCTTTTTGTCGAAAATTTCTAAAATTTTGCAGGGAGATTTGTGTATTAGGCGGATTGATGCTATTAAATTTTGATGATTGATCGTCGAGGAGGTGAGGAAAAATGGGAGTCGTGTCCAATAGGATTGGACTTAATGACGATTGTACTTGTTATTAGCATTTACAATTTTTTATAAAGCCCATCCCTATCATCAAATTAAGCTTTTTGCCATTTTATAATAGTATAAAATATAAAAAGTGTTTAATAAAATGTGATAACAAACGGCGCCATCAAAATTTTAAATGTTGCCGGGAAAGTTGAGCAACTTGTTGCTAGTTTATTGTGATAAACGATACAAACCACCAGGATCCTACATATAAGTACAATAAAACCAGAATTACTTACCTCGATTCTTTGTTTCTGTACTCGAATTCTAGCACCTATATGTAATCTCTTCTAGAAGAAAATACGATTTAATGGTGAAGAATATAAAATTAGATTTTTCTCTGTTCAAATTTATGATGTTATATATGTTGCATGTTGCGGCGGTAGTTTAGTACATTAAATTCAACTCTTATTGTATTTATTAAATGAATTATTTAAAAATAACTCATATCACAGAAAGGTTTTATACGGTATCACCATTAATCTTCTTTAATAATACTTTCTACTTAATTTAATTGAATACACGCAAAAACTCCATTCACTTATAAATGTACTGTACAATACTTTCGAGATATTATGTATTTATATATAATATAGGGGAGACCGGGGCAACTTCGGCATGCTGGGCAAGTGTGTCAAGCGCTTTTTTTTTTAAAAACAAATTAAAAGGAGACTTTGGTTATAGGTTAGGCCAGTGGTTCCCAACCTTTTTTCATTAGTGTACCCCGTGACATGTCATATTTCTAGATAGTACCCCTTGACATGTCATATCTCTAGATTGTACCCCTCATTTAAGAAATTTAGTGAGTAACCGTATTGTTAATTTTACATATTGTAACTTTAAATTAAAGAAAAAAAACCTAAAAGAAAAAATGTATAATGAAGTTGTGATTGTTGCAAGGAACATATTTTACCTAATAATTTTTTAATACTATTAGTTTGTGATACATAATATATTATTTTTTCTGCCATAATAACTAACTTTTTTCTGTACCCCTAAACAACCTATCGCGTACCCCTAGGGGTACGTGTACCACAGGTTGGGAATCGCTGA